AGAAAAGGAGGTTGGAACTCTTGAAGACAAACCAAAACTGGGAAGAGGAGGAAACCAGGCAAGAATAAGAAGAGACCTGAAGAGGAAGGGGATGCAAAGTGATTCATCAAGAGACAATTGAGTCTTAAGGATGGGAAGTTTGTGAGACAGTAAAATAAGGACCAATAGAGAGGTCCTCACTTTGCCGATCCAACCAAACCAAATTACTGTAGAAGTCACGTGATCACAACATTATTTCTATTTTTGTGAACCTACTGCGCCTAACACTGCGCAGTATCACACGAACAATTATTTCTATTCATATTTCTATATTTATATTTCAAGAACTTGTTCAGCTGATGCAAATATTTACTTTGAATTATTAATTATCATTTCGTAATGCTCAGTTGACCCAAATATTTATTTAGCATTAATAAGCATATTTTATTGGACAAAATAGAGTAGAATTCATGTTATTTGCAATACCTCAAGAGGTATAAAAAGACTTGGTTTAGACCAAGTCTGAAGGATCATGTTGATAACAATCTTTTAATTATTGATCTAATAATTAATACTTCCTAACACTATTGTAATAATAATATTATTATCACTAATAAAACACATAACATATTTTACCCTAAAAATATTAATCTTTAATTTAAACCAATCACCTGTCAAAGGGAGACCTTTGCTATACCTAGCAAGTAACCACCACTTTAATTATTGAGATACATCTAAAGGGAACGCCTTTGGAATATAATTATTTACATAGAACCTAGGGACCCTTCTATCCAGGAAGATAAAAGTAATTTTGACTGTAAGTCAGCAGGTAGGCTGTGTGTCATACATATATATATATAAATAAAGGAAAATTGACTGTAAGTCAAGGGTAAGCTGTGTGTCAAACAATAAAATCAACTGTAAGTCAGCATGTAGGCTGTATGTTGAGCTTTAAATAACCTATTAGTTAGGAAACTCGGATTGCATGCTTGCACTATCAAAAAATATTATTTATTTTCAAGAAGTGAATTTAAATTACTTTACAGGATCATTTTGTGATTAAGAGGAGATATTGGAGAAGATGAAAACATTCAAAGGAAAGTTCACCTTGAACAAAACCTTCAAAATCTTCACAAAGTATTTTTTTTTTTTGTGAAGAAAAATATTATTCAAATATTATGCATGGTCACAGATACAACTTCTCCCTGTGATAATTGTGGTAATTGTTAATGTAAATTCTAATTTGAGTAATGTAACTACAGATGCAATTAGAATGATTAATATTGTAAGAAAGATAACTGAAGGGCTTGAAGGAGATAATATAATTTTTCATGATGATGTAATTGAAATTTTTCTACAATTGAAAAATAAAAAACTATTTGATAAAAATTGAATTCAATTTCAATTTATGATAAAAATTTAATAGAATAATTGGAAATTCAAACAAATCACTTGATGAATTAATAAATAAATAAAAAATAATAGAGTCACATTGCAAAAATCTGGTGCTGGATTTTGGATAACAAATTCTAAAATAATAGATGTTGCTGAAGAATTAGTCTATTCTTATTCTTGGGATATTATTTGTAAAAATCACTGGTTATTTAGATAAAAGTATAATTATATATATACACATTTGTTTTTTTTTTTAAATAAAGGCTCATAATTTTATTAGAATAAAGTAAGTAAAATAATTCACAAAATTATATGAGGTTATAAAGCTCTGAACAAATCAATGAAATTCAAACCAATTTGACCTAATTTTTGATTTGAATCAGTTCAAACTGATTTGAATCTATAGCAATCATTATCATTCATTACAACATTAGTTATATTTATTACTTAGATTTAATGAATTTATCAATGAATCGTGCAACTGTAAATTGTATTACTTATAATATCATTATTATATAGTGATGGTGGTCAAAACTACCTTACTAGTGGACCAAAATTGCCAAAATTAATTGGCCTAAACTTGGACAAAACTAATTTAATAACAGCTCAAATTGGATGAAATCATTTTTAAGTCTTATTTATTATAAAAATATTGGGCTACCATGGTATTGGGAAAAACTACCTTTTGTGTAATATAAATTTAATATGATGTTTAAAAAAAATTTTTAGGAATCCGGTTTGATTCAAATTGAATTGAATCAAGTCATGAATCAAATTGAACCAAATCCGAATTGGATCAATTCATTCAGAGCCTAAGCTAAAATGTCACAATGTACTCTTTAGTCAGTCTTTAATAATGACGCCGTCTGTAAATCAGATTTACAGAAGTTGTATCTAGCAACCGAGTTGTCATACTATTTGCAACCAAGTGCCAAAATCTGTAATTCTCTGTAATATGTAAATGTATCTGTAATTCTGTAATTCTGTAATTCTGCAAATCTTATATATATATAATAATAAATAAACTTTTGTGTAACAATTTTTTTTATAATGAACAAGAGACCAAGAAAAGAACCAAGCAATTCTATTAATCGTGGCAGACAATTTACAGGTGTATGGAGGCAATTTATTCAAGGTCAAGAAAAAGGAAATGGTATATATGAAGGCGAGTGTATAAGTTGCCATAAAAAATGGGCATTTGCAAAACCTGGAATCTTACGTTCTCATTTAGCAAATGAATGCAATGAATGTGGAGAATATGTTAAATGATATTACAATTGGATCATTACAAATAATATTCATGATAGCTCTTCTGGTAATTCATATGAAATTCCTGATGATTGGGTGAGGCTTACATCAGATAATAGAAAAATTAGTAATAATGAACAATCTAAAGTTGATTCTTATTATGGTTCCACATCAATTGAACCTTCATGTCAAAAACAAATTGATATAGCTTTATCTGTAGCATTTATTTGTTGTGGGCTTCCATTTAATATTGTAGAGAATCCTTTTTTTGTTAACTTATTAAAAGCATTAAATCCTGGTTATAATTCTCCTTCTCGTGAAGTATTGTCAGGTAGATTTTTGGATAATCAAGTTGCATTTGTAAATCAAAAGATTGATAACATATTACAAAATACAACCAATATTACTCTTGGGACAGATGGATGGACAAATCCAAATGGCTCGAATTTATGGAATTTCATGGTAATGACACCTGAGAGAAAAGAATTTTTATATTGCATTTCTGATTTTTCTTCTGCCTCTCATACTGGTGAATTTTTAGCAGAAGAAATTAATAAAATTATTGAATGTATTGGACCAAAAAAGGTTGCAGCAATTGTTAGTGATAATGGTGCCAACATTGCCAAAGCTAGAAGGATTGTGACTAGCAAGTATAAGCATATTATTAATGTGAGATGTATAGCTCACTGTATTAATCTGATATCAAAAGATGTTATTGCACATAAATTTGCAAAAAATTTAATTTCTAAGGCAAACATTATAGTAAAATATTTTAAAAAGTCCTCTTTGGCTAATAGTCTTCTAAAATCACAAATAGAAAAGCATAGAATTCAAGGTGGTATTATCAAAAGTTACGTGAAAACAAGATGGACATCTGTTCATGAATGTTTAGATTCAATTATACGATTGAAAAGATGTTTAGAAGAAATTCGTGATGAACATTCTACTTCAATTAGTAATAATTCAGTGATTAGTATTTTAAGAAGTAGAGCATTCTTTGAAGATGTTGGTTACTTGGCTAACACTTTATTACCAATCAAATTAGCTATTTTAGAAGTGGAGGGTAGAAGTACAAATCTTGCAGATTGTTACATTTCATTATTAAGAATTGCAGCAGTAATAAGAAATTTACCATCTAATGATTATAAATTTTTTAGAAATCATTGTATTTCTGTTTTTAATAAAAGGTAAATTTTATAAATTTAGATTTAATTTTTTTATATATTCTCTAACCTTAAAAATTTTTTTTATTAAAGGTATAAAGAATTTGATGATCCGATTTATTTGTTAGCCTTTTTTCTACATCCAGCATATAAAGGGAATGGTGTTAAGTATGGACAATTTTATAATATTGTTAGTCATGCTGGTTCTATTTGGAAATCTTTAGGAAAAAATCGTGAAAGTTGGGAATCTTTGTCAACTCAGCTACGTCTATATAAACTTCAAAAAGATGATAATGGTGTTCCTAATGTTTATTCTGCACCATACACTCCCAATCAAGATACTGTTATGAGTTGGTGGAATACGTGTGAAGCAAATCCAAAGCATTTACAACAACTTGCACTAAGAATTTTTTCAATTACACCTAGCAGTGCTTCATGTGAGAGAATGTTCTCAACACTTGGCTGGCTGTATGGTAAGAAATGGCAAAATTTGTCAATCCACAAACTTGAAAGTCTGGCTAAAGTTTATAGATATAATATATCAGAAGTTGCACAAACTACTAATCATTTGAAGAGAAGTAAGGTAGAAATGACACAAGATGAAATTCAAGATTTATTAAATAAATCTATGGAAGAAGAAGAAGAGGAAGAAGAAGAGGGTGATGATGAGGATGATGTAGTTGAGAATGAAATTAGTATTGCAACAGAAGAATCAAATATTCCCGATTGTGAATTAGATGTACAAGTTGTGATTGAATTTAATTCTTGTGTTTTTGAAATGTTTAACGAAAACAATACAATAGAAGAATTAGATAGTGGATTTTTTGATGAAGAGACTGGAGGCGATGATTATGATCCCATAGAAGTAGCTCATGAATCAATGGGTTTTGATGATTATTACAATGTATAATAATATATATTTTTATAATTTTTTAAATTTAAAAAGTTTATGAATAAAGTTTATGATTTCATTTGTGTAAACTGCAAAAAATTTTGATTTGATTATAATTTTCAATTACATAACATATTTATTACAGAATTACAGAATTACAGAACTACAGATACATTTACATATTACAGAGAATTACAGATTTTGGCACTTGGTTGCAAATAGTATGACAACTCGGTTGCTAGATACAACTTCTGTAAATCTGATTTACAGACGGCATCATTAGAATGTACAATTGATTGTGAGTTTGGTTTTCTTCAACACAATCAACAACTTGTGGAGGGAGTCTTTGATTTTGGAATCTTGAGGTCAAAGGAACCAGACTTGAGACTTTTCCTACCAGAGACAAGTTCTTGACATTGGAAGGTACCACCTTGTTCCAATAAATCAATGGCATGGGGTTCAAAGATGTATCCACAAAGGGCTGCAGCAAGAGGATTTCCAGTGCAAGAACCAAGAAGACTGCATCTTTAGACTTTCATAAGTCCATTTAGTATGAGCAATAGTCTTCATTGCAGTTTCTGAGGCATATATCACTGTGGCATCTTTATAAGGTGGGCTTGACTTAAGATGAACAAGTGTTTGAATAATCTTTGCTTTGGGTGTGATTTCAGAATGAATTGAAACCAACTTGATACAGTCCTCCAGTTCACATTGTTTACAAGCTGAAATCAGAATTGATGTTGGATCTTGTTCAGTTTGTTCCAGCACAAGACGAGGAACACCACCTAAAGTTCAAAGTGATTCATCCAAATATTAGCTACATTTGAGTAAAGGGTGTAACAACTTCCAATTATTCCCTAGTCCATAAAGGCATATAAAAGATAGGAGGAGCTGGAACCAACTTGCTGAATCTACTAATAAAATCACTTCGAGGGGTAGTTGACAAAATGACAGAACAGGCGTCAACAGGAAATCCAGGAATGTTAGTTGGATCTTTTGAATCAACAAGGCACCATAAGTCAAATGTCCAGAATTGATG